TGAAATAGTAGCCTAACAAAGCACTGGTTATTAACAACTGACAGAATGCGAAGGTCCTGTAGTAGGAGAACAAAAATATATGCAGTCTTCGATGCCCCCTGGTTGAAACAGAACAGCTGCGCTTTCTTCAGTGTGTACAACATGACGAAGTGGTGAGGTCTGTCAAAAAGAGAAAGTACTTGTATTGCCACCCTTAGTGCTCAGTCGAATTTTCTAACAAAATGATTGGAAAACCTCATCTGCAAATGCTCGGTTACGTTGCTTCTCTCTGTCGAACGCTATTCATGATTTTGGAGCTGGTTTTGCTTTCAGGTTTACGTTAGCAGTTGCATTCTTGTAAATCATGGGGATGATTAATATTATTCTGTATCGTATTGCTTTGTCGATTCCTTGGCTTCTCAAATAATGCACCTCAAAGCGATTGTAGAGTGAGTCGAAATTCTTCTTGAACTCGACAAACCCCAGGCCACATGGAAAATGATATTCGTTGCATATCTGAATTACTTCAAGCACCCGGGTCAATTGTTAATGACCCGCAATAATAAATCGACTTCTGAACCTCGTATGCTTCTTTAGCCGTATAGAATCTCGTTTTTCTTAGTCTGTGACGATTGCCAAAAAATCAATCATCATATTAATAATAATAATCATCTGTCATTTTCGACAGTTCGTTCAGACAGGGTGGAAACAAGCGTGGTAATTACTCCGACAGTGATTTACCTCCCTATTCCACGAATCCCATTATAATGTGGTCTACACCAGCAACACTTACTACCTCGCTTGTCAGTCACATGTTCCGACGAGATATCTGGATTTTTGTTAGCTTCATTTGTACCTACACATTCTTTATCGTCATGTATGGTGTTCTAAAGACAGTACAGCTTTCACTCTATAGCATACCTGAAAAAATATGAAATACAAAAAACTGACAGACAAGGACAGCATATTTCGATGATCTGTGGGCAGCATTGGCATTTTGAGTAACTGAATCTATCAGAATATACCTCACACCACTGTTGAAATACCGTGTGACGACGTTGTATTTTCATACTTCTAAATGGAACGCTTGAGTCATAAAATATCGTAATATAGCCTACAAAAGATGGGTAAAAATTTCTTGTCGATATTTTCTATCGTTATTAAGCGAATCTCGCTACATTAAAGCAATAGTATAGGCTTAAAACTAATGCAATTTCGTCTGCTATTCATAAGCAATGAACGTCTTAATAATTATTCGAATAAAAGTTTCTTCGCAATTCGAAAAAAAAATTCGCAATAGATTCAAAACAGGTAGATTTATTTGGAATAGGCGCCTTTCTTGAAAAGATAGGAAAACAGTCAGTGAACAGTAAGAAAACCTCATTCTTTCAGCACAAGAGAATGGAAGAATAAAAAATACCTGCCAGGCTAGGTAATGTTTCCCTACGCCAAGATTTGCTATGATACTCATTCACGGAACTAGCCGAAATCCAGGTCACCTGTGTCTGAAAGAAAGTAGATTAATTCCTTGGGATCCTACCACTTAACCGTCATTAGAGGTGGAAGCCTGTGTAGCAGTACACAAGCTAATCGTTAATTATAAAATGGGTACTGTGAAATGTAGGCAGAAGGTGTGTGCGTGCGACAGATATTTTGGCTGGTTACAGATATATTACACAGTGGTGTACTTGCTCATGTATGGTGTTAGTACTACTAAAAACTGAAACTTCACGCCGCACATTGGGTTCAATTTTCGCACTTCTTAAGTGTAAAGCAAACAACAAACCCACTGAGTCATCCCCCTCTAATATTAAGAAATTTGAAACAGCATTTTAGAAAATTAAATAATCAGTCAAGTGGTTGGAAAAGTAAGTGAATGCAGCTGCGCACGAAACCCAGCTTTCACATTTTAATTCAAATGCCAAACGCATCGAATGCCGTTGCATCTGCAAAGGGACGAAATTAGTTTAATCAGTGAACTGCTGTTCAAAAAGCCGCCAAAGGGCTGCATATTTACTTAATCAGCGGTAGAAAACGCATGAGACACGGCTTCCTCAAAAGACGTGCGAAATATACAATCGACAACTTTAAAACTAAAGCAAATGTTAGGAAACAAAAAAAATAAAATCAGAACAGGCGTCAAGTAATCGATCGATCAACAGTCTCGGCGAACTGAAACCGAGTAAACGAAAGACATCATAAACAAACATTCCCGGACGGCGACACTGTTGAACTGAGAGACCAAAACGTTTATATTAAAAATTGTACAATTCACAAGCAAATAAAAACATAACACAACTACGAAAAAATAAATATATGAAACATGACTGTTCGGCAACAATCCGAAGATTTCGTAAAAGTGGAAGAGAGAAAAACTGATTCAGTGTAATTTCAAAACGGCAGCTCGTTCGAAGGCGATGACATGTGCTTCTCTATTGCTTCACGGTAACTGAGCCGGTCGGACTGACCACTATGCACCAAAGTGTCGGTACCCGAGCAGCTCGTGGACTCGCCAAAGTTTCCCGACGTCACGTCGTTGTCCGAAGAAAAGCATTCGTCCATTTTCTCTTGCAGCAAGGCTATGTAAACGCGGTACCTCTTAATCTAAAACCGAGCATGCAAAAGATGTAGATATTTCTTATATGGATCGATTACCACGACACCCACACAAGATAAAATAAATTAATACCAACGTTGAGGCATTATGCAATAATACTCTGCACAGACGTAAGCCAGAGTTGTAAAGCAAGGGAATACTCCGAAGGCAAAAAGTTTGTCATGATCTATAAAACGATCAGGCTAGCTTACGAAGGCATGTAGAACTCATGACAGCTAAGCAAATCTGTCAATTAGTTAACTATACTCAGCATATACATCTGACAGAGGAATCTAAGATATGCTGTACGCTGGGCTTCTCTCCAACGGCCCACGAAGGTGCCAATATAGAAAAGACGTGAGTTCATCGTACTTGCACGCTAGTACACCTGAATCACGATATGGAACACTTTTGTGTTGTTACCTACACCTTAAACGATGACAAATATTTACCGTAATCACCGTAGTCGATCAGTAAAGAAACACAAGGTATGGTTGTTGATGCACTTTCTGAAGCAACAGGGATTTAATTAATAGCTACTTCTAGTTTTGAAATTTTGTATTTTCCAATTAGTAACGGTTCAGTTCATTGTCTTCCTCAATGATCCTCAGTGTTGTTCGATCGAACCGCCAGCAATGAAACATTAAACCTTACTAATCGCCTTTAATTAGTGTTTAATAGTAAAATCATTACCAACGCACTACTCTTATACAACAATTAATAATATCAATACGATTTTCGACAACAGTTATATTCACCTTATTGTCAAACCCTAGAATATCGAACCGTCGATTAAAGAACAAGTATAAAATACATACATGAATGGCCTCAAAAATGTAATACTCATTTCAAAATACAGAAGATTTCGTTTCCATTAAACCTCAACGCAATCATCAATTAACAACTACACGCTTAATATGGAGACGAAAAATTTTATAATACACCAAACAACTGTAAAAAACATCAACGACTCATTTTACAACCACGAAAATATATTATATTTAGTGCTACGCGAACGATACCAACAATTTCCCCTGCCTGTTGGTTTTAGATTGTTATTAGACTTTTGTATTAACAGTCAGAGAAGAATGCAGGATTAGTGATTTAGATGTTTTTGAGAAACTCCGCCATGGCCGGTCCCAAGACCGCAGGAGAAAGGAGGAGGGTTGGAGACCGTGGCAAGTCTCCGTAAAATTCAGCCACCTGCCAGGTATTGACGCCTTCGAAAATTATACCGGCTCGGTCGTCCCCGGGTTACCAAGGGCCGCGCAGGCTGTTGGGGGACTGAGGAAAACTGCGAAAAGTCGGCGATCAGAACCTGCTCATTGCCCTCTGACAGCCGGGAGCGTGGCAGCACAACGACGGCTGACGAAGACCGACGCAACGACGACGAAGATACCAGTCAG